TCTCCGTCCTACACCTCCTCTCTGTCCATCCTTCTACACCTCTCTTTCTGCCCAGCCTTTTACCACCTCTCTCTCCTCATCCTCCTCTCTCCTCCCGCCTTGGCCTACATCCCTCCTCTGTCCTTACATCCTCTCTCTCCTACTCCTCTCTCTCCTACATCCCTCTCTCTCTCCGTCTCTTCACCATCCCTCTCTGTCCTCACCCCTCTCTCTCTCCATCCTTCTACCCCCCTCCTCTCTCGTCCATACTTCCTCACCGTTCCTTTCATCGTCCCATCCTTCGTACACCTGGCCTCTCTCTTGCATCTCCTACCACCCTCCTCTCTCGTCCATCCTTCCTCACCCCTCTCTCTCGTCCTATCCTTCTACCAGCCCTCTCTCTCGTCGTCCAAGCCTTCCTACCACACTTTGCGTGAGTGCGTGCGTGTGCACGTACACGTGCGTGCATGCGTGCGTGCGTGCGTGTGCACGACAACGTGCGTACATGCGTGCGTGCGTGCGTGCGCACGTACACGTGCGTGCATGCGTGCGTGCGTGCGTGTGCACGTACATGTGCGTGCATGCGTGAGTGCGTGCGTGCGTGCGTGTGCACGTACACGTGCGTGCATGAGTGTGTGCGTGCGTGCGCACGTACACGTGCGTGCGTGCGTACGTACACGTGCGTGCGTGTGAACTTACACGTGCGTGCATGCGTGCGTGCGTCCGTGTGTGTGCACGTGCGTGCGTGCGTGTGTGCGCGCGTGTGCAGGTACACGTTCGTTCGTTCGTGCGTGCGTGCGCAGGTACACGTGTGCATGTGTGCGTGCGTGCGTACGTGCGTGTGTGTGCAGGTACACAATCTACGTGCACATGCATGCACGCACGCACGCACGTGCGTGCGTGCCTGCGTGCGTGTGCACGTACACGTGCGTGCATGCGTGCGTGTGTGCGTGCGTGCGTGCGTGTGAACTTACACGTGCGTGCGTGCGTGCGTGTGCACGTACGTGCATGCGTGCGTGCGTGCGTGCATGTGTGTGTGCGTGCGTGTGCACGTACACGTGCGTGCGTGCATCGCTATTACATGACATGACATACTAAACATGAAACATCGCTATTACGTCAGTATCGTTGAACAACTCTGATTGGCTGATGAATTGTACAATCCGGCGACTAAATTACCGACCCGGACACACTAGGCGATTTTATCGGGCGACTGAAATGATCGCCCGATAATATCGAAACGTTTTGATCTATGCGATTAATTCGGGCGACTAAATCGGGCGACTAAATCGGGCGACTAAATCGCCGGCGAATGACTGGACACACTAGGCGATTTCACAGGCGATTTAGTCGCCCGATAAAATCGCCTAGTGTGTCCGGCCCTTTAGGGTTAGGGTTAGGGAGTAGGCGTAGGCGACATACTCGCCGACACCTCGGGTACTACATATACGACAACGACCCCTTCAGCCCCAGTACTGGCTCCTCCACCGCGCAGCCCACGTTATAACATAGGTTCATGAGGCAATGCAAGTAGTGGTTGATACTAGCCGCGGACACGCACTTACACGAAGTTCTGTAGTTTTGTGCGGTGCGCACACGTGAGGTATGCGTGAGCGTGGTACGGACACGGGCTATCCCTACGAGCGTGCTACGACAACGCCGTGATATCTTGCGCGTGCGAGAGAGAGATTCCAATCGGAGTCAGTCAGTTGCCACGCTTGCTGCTACGCGTTGCAATCTTCCTGGTGGAAATTATATACTAATTAAGCCCGGCGCACACGTGGCGATTTTTATTGACAGTACCGTCGACTCGACAACAAATATCAAATATGTTTGATATTCCAGCGACGAGTTTCTGGCGTCAAAATCGGTGACGCCGTGCAGCGCACACGTTGCGATTTCTCGGCGATTTTGTTGCTGGCAACAGAATCGCCGGTACTGTCGATAAAAATCGCTACGTGTGCGCCGGGCTTTAGAGACACTAAATTATTTGTACATAACGGAATGCTTGTATCGCGGATTGTGCTATGCAACTTAATTTTTATACAGTATACATGGTAATATCAATAGCAGCCAACTCGTTAAAGTTACACAGCTGTATCTTTATTACTGTACTACCAGTAGGTATAGCAAAGCCTATCATAGATTTTAGATCCGTATTACTAGTATCCTAGATATATGCTCTGAGCGCGAACGCGGTGGCAGGAGGGCGCACTTGATTCGGTTGCCAGAGAGTTTATCAGAAGAATACTTGGCTACAGTACACGTCAGTTGAGCGCTGTCGCTCTGCGGCACTTGTTTATGTAAGGGAATCTATTCTACTGCTCGCCGTTTCTTGCCGTTTACGCGTGTCGGTGTAGACTTCACATGTAGGTGAACGTAGAGTGTAGGTGGGTATATCGTACACAATTGACGTCGATCGTTGATTGCATTATTTAGGCGGTGCCATGCTATCCCCACAGCTAACCACAGCTGCCAAGCACATCTAATTGCTGGTGGAGGTAGAGGTCGTCGCTGTTATAGAAGGAACACTGACATTAGAGCTGTGGTTAATGTGAGGGTGGCATTGATACGCGCTTGCTTAGGTGCGTCCGTTGGTGCAATGTGATCATCATTCAAAGAGATTCAGTATTATGAACAGCTGTGTGAATGAAATAATGACAGAGTTTCCGACATTTCCGAGTCGGAACCTCTGCAGTGTAAAGTATGTTTGTTACTAGTGATAGTCATCGTTACTAGATTACTCGGATTTGAATCGTAGAATCGAAATAGTGCTAACAAGCAGATGAATGATTTGCATATCAACAGTCAGGCGAGTGTGCGGGTAGATAGATGAATACTCCCTGAATACTGTAGGAGTGCGTCTCTGTGCTTTTTGGTGTGTTCACCTCTTACTGCAAATGCATATGTCATATATCTACACTAACACGTTTAGTTATATATATATCAGGAGCGTATAATGACAAATATATTTGTCATTATACGCTCCTGATATATATATATATATATATATATATATATATATATTATATCTACAGGTTCAGTGTTTATATATATCGTATGTCTGGAGTCCGAGTCTTTATATATTATATATTTGCACTAATAGTGTTTATATATTGTATATCTACACAAATGGTGTTTATATATACATTATATCAAGAGTACATAATGGGAGAGGTGACTACATGATTAGGTACATAGCCTATGATCTCGTATCGGTATGTGTGCGTTGTTATACAAAATAAATAAATATATATATATATCCGTCATTTTATTAGCAGTTGTCTATTTCTCATATAAAAATCCGACCTATGTGGAATTTTCACTTGACCAGTGAGAGGCAAACATGCTTGGAAAACCCTTATTGGTTCTTGTTGTCTAATGTCTACCCACACTGTAAACGGTGCATAGGCCTGACCTAATCCAATTATTTCACGATTTCAAATTGGTCTATCAAGACGGATAACTGCGATGAATGCCAAAACTTCTATTGAATCGAATCTTGAAAGAAACGTCCCTAGATGGACCCAGTAGTATTCGCCAGGAACAAGAAATCTGGAACATGTATTTCAAAAAGAAAACCGGTTTTCAAAAGTGGAATCATAGCTTTTATTACAAAATACTAGTAGCTACAACTGCCACGATATTAGGCATGTTTCCTCTCCATACTTCAAACAGACCCTTATCATCGGCATCATCATTGCCATCATCATCAATGACACACATCTTATTTACACACGTTTCCTTAAATATGGGAGCGGTTCTTGTGTCAATAACAAAAAGCCAGCAAGCACAGTCACGCGGCTGGCAAAACAACGAAGCCACATGCACGCGAATATGACGTCACCCCTACATGCACGTGTGAATGACGTCTCATCTGCACGCGCGTGACGTCACAACATCTACGCATCAACCACAGACGTCGTAACGTCTGCGAGTTTTCCTGGAGCGCACGTATAAAAACAGCGACGCGTTCTCTCTCTCTGCTGCTCGCTACTCGACCCTACTGGTTCCTCTACATGCTAACAGCTTAGCCTCGCTCGCCTTCCTCTCTCTCTCTCCCACCTCAGTTGGAAGCCATGTCCCGGATTCCTCGCCACCTCCCGGTGCGTAACCGTGACGACGCACGCAGCGTGGAGACCTGTGTGAGTCGTCACGGCGGGGCGGGATCTCGTGGGAGCCCTCAGCGATTATCGATACGGCTTGTTGTAATAATACGTCTCGCGCGTGGCGATCGGTGACCGTGCTTAGGGAACCTGCTACATGAGCAAGCTACCACGCACGGCAAGAGCAGCCGCAGCAGCGTAAAGAAAGCCACCTCGTCGCTGACAGGTAGAGTAAACGTATACATACTTACCGTATTTCGTGGCTTACGGGACTCGGTTTATTCACAACCCGGTGGAGTCCTATAAGCTTAAGGCCGGGGTAGTTTATATTTTACTCATATTTACTAGCTCATTAACTCATTATTATAGTTGTTTTTTGTTTAGCTATGGTTCAGTATATTATACACCTCAGCAGAAGAGCCTACAGTGTATACAAACCAATGGAGGGAGTGAGGTAAGCTTAAAAAATAAAGCTTAAAATAGTCTTCGAGGGATAAAAGATGGCAAAAACAAGAGTGCAGCCTTATTGCCTAATTGATGGTAAACACATACCTGGTAGTGGGGAGGAGAATTATGCAGTAAGAGTTCTCCTTTAGATAATTACCTTCTAAGTTTGGGGGTCCGTCTAGTGCATTGAGCGTTTTATAAGCCGAGAAATACGATATGTATACATGGTTATCTCTACATCAGTAGGTAGAGTAATAACTTATAATTAGTACAGGCTAGCAGAAAACCTGTCACCTGACTCGACTCCTATTCTCATCACACAACAACAGACTTCTCCCAAACTAGAAGAAATCCATCAACCGGTAACATCCCAGCGACTGCGGCGTTCCCTTTCCAAATAAAAATAACCGAGAACAACAGAAGCGAAGAACTGCCTTGAGCCTAGACTCCTCACTCGAATCTTCCCTCCCTCCATACATATATACAGCTAAAGGTAGATGATGAGGTCCCGATTATTGACCTGATACAGCATCTATTAGATTGGCATCTAGATGCAAACATGACCGTATTTTACTATTGAATTCGTATTTACTATCAGCGAATTCGAACTGACTATGTCTGCAACCACATTTGATGTGACTGCATCCATACTTACTATGAGTATAAAGACCTCTAATCCTTGAGAAAAAGTAAAGCGAAAACGCTTTAACAGCGTGGAAGTCTCATTCGTTCACATAGTGGACTTGACAACGGCACGATAGACCGCTAGACACACACCAACATGCAAGCATTTCTTTGACTGAAATCTGGCGTGCGTTTCACCGGCAAAAAAAACCCTCACGCTGTGCCTAGATAGATCGACAGCTACGTGGGATCAAGCTAAGTATGCTGCCCACACTGCATGGGTGCAAGCGGTTATAGTCCGACCACGCACGTGAGAGGCTACACTAAGCTACATGATGTCCAACACCTCCATACAACAACATCGTACTGGCTAGAAAACCGGCGCGCACGTACCCCGTTAAAAAAGCGAATATCAAAAGTGAAACAACCGCCAACGCCGCAAAAAGGCATAAAGCGCATCGACGGTTTTTGTTCTAAACCACGGCATTAAAAGTTGTAGGCAACATTGATGGTGTCAGCGACCATCAAGTCAGGCCAGGTTATGCAAGCGTGACGTTCTCTCTTATTAAATCATCTAGCGCTGTAAACAGTGATTTAGAAGTGACATTTTCATGTCTGTCTGTGCCAGTCAAAAGTCACCAATGCATTTCGGCCCTACTTTAACAACCTGCTCAGTTTTTAATATGGCATTTCTTTACCACCCTTTTTAATACAGTAGTTCCTTAACCCCCCATTTTAAAAAGGCATCTCTTCAATAACCTTTTTAATAGGACATTTCTTTAACACCTTTTTTAAATATATCATTTCTTGTTACAGCTCTTTTTAATATGACAATTCTTTAATACAGCACTGCATTAATACCCCCTTTGATACTGCATTTGTTTAAACGAGCCTTACTTACAGCTAAATGCAGAAAGTTTGCAGACAGAGAGAGAGAGAGATAGCAAGAGGAGAAAGAAACTGACACGTCTGACACTTTTGCGTACGGTGCAGGATGGGACGAGGCGCGTCTCTCCACTGTGCACCACCACTGCCATGTAACAAGGCCCTCTCGCCGCTGCGTCGTCGCCTACATGCACCACCGGTCTACACGTGCAGTGTCTGCTGATGTCACGCCATCTTGTTCGCTATGGTGTTGTGAAGGGAAGCCAACTGTGACGTCCACCGCTCCAGCGTCGTGTACTGTGCTGCCCCCTGGCGGGTCTTCTCGAGCTCTAGCACCTGGTTGACTTGATCGATGCGACCTTGGATCGTACTGCGGAGCGGTGAAGGTCAGTGGGTTAGACATGCGGGGCGGGCGCTCCTACCATGTTACCTCCACTCTCCACGCTATTACCATTATCACTTTAATAACTTGTTAGTGTATGTATGTATATACATATATCTATATATATATATATATGTGACTTCAAGCAATAGTAGGCCTACCTATTAACTAATGTACTTCACTCAAATAATTTAATGTACTAAACTACTAATTTAGTAAAAGCAAAATGAAGTATCGCTTTATAAGTGGTGTAACGTGCACTGTTTTCCACATTATTTTTTTATCGAAGATAAACTCATACTTACTTGTCTAATATACAGGAAACAAGCAGGTTTTCTACTTCTATTACATCTATGTTTAACTCCTGCAAATATTTAACGAAAGCTTAACATTAAAACAGCATTCAGAGAATAGACCCAACGCACTCAAACACATCTTGTGACTAGCACAAAGTTTAGCTGAGAAAAATGAAAACAAATTGTGCAAAATCTGCATAAACCTGATGACATACTCGACCAACCTTAGGTGTGTTATCGGAAACATCATAAATTGTTATGACATTGTAACTATGTAAACATAAAATGTCATATCTTTTGACACTTTACACCCCTGACAAAAGTTATGACAATTTTGACCCATGACACTCGTACCTATTTTTGATGTTTCTGACAACGATCCCCTGTACTATGTGTGAGTGTAATAACCTGTAGTAATTTCAATGTACCATACATATAAGGACAGACAAAACACATCTGCTAACAGCGACAGCAAAGTAGCACGCACTAGTACATCATGTTGTTTCTGTTTCTATTGGCTGTACATATGCTTTCACGTTCATACGCACCTTTGAAATGAAGGGTATGTGGATCCTAGTATATGGTTTGATCAACTTTATTAACACCTGAGTTCGGATGTTGCGCAATAGGTCTGCAAGAAAGCCACCACATGTTGAAATGTTGCCAAGGCAATGCAAATATTGACCTAGTATAAAGCTAACTAGCCTAGATTAAGCACAGATAAACATACAGACAGATTGATAGCCAAATAGTCTGATAGATAGATAGATGGATTGACAGACGGATAGATGGACAGACAGACAGATAGATAGACAGACAGACACACAGACAAACAGATAAATAGATAGAAATATAGATAGACAGACAGACAGACAGACAGATAGAGAGAGATGGAGTGGATAGAAAGAAAAAATCTCATAAAACATTCTTTTCTTCAAACAAACAGCGATGTTCTAGAAGGACATGACCAAGCATTAGTATTTACATCACATTAACTGATGACACCCCTGTCAGACGCTTACCTTCAATATGCTCTCTGATGAATGGGTCATCCATTATGTTTCTCCTATTCATTTTCAATATCTTCTCAAATTCGTTAATATCATTATTCTGGTAGGCACTGTGATAAATGCAAGACATACAAATTTTATTAAATTTGCTGAAAAAAGGTTGACAATGACAGTGTAGATTAATTAGCAGTACATAAAAGGAAACAAACAACTACGTAAACACACGTGTCAAAGTAACTGACTCTGGGCGGACATGGGTTACTAAATGTATAAAACAAGTTTTCCACTGTCACAATCAAACATCAGACATTTGTTGTCTTACAGTCTTAACATGCGATTACACAGAGTATACGAGATCTCAGCCAGGCTATTTCTGCCTATTCGAGGCAGTAAAAATGCAGTCACCTACCAGCAGAGGGGACACTGGGCATGACAACTGTGGGACACCAGCATGACACTGGCGTGAAAACTGGGAGACACATTGGTGACACTGGCACAACAACTCGGTGACACATGGGGGACACCGGCGTGACAACTGGGTGACACCGCCATGACAACTGGGTGACACCGCCATGACAACTGGGTGCCACCTGGGTGACAACGGCATGCTCACCTAACGAGATTTGTCATTGCAAGGATCTCCGGATCGTTCTTGTACGGTTTCGCCTCCTGTGAGTCGAACGGATTGATTCCCGACTTCATCAGCATGTTAGCTAGCACTAGATACTTCAGACAGGTTGTCCTCCTGCACACAACATTACACACATTAGAAAACCATTAGTTTAAGTTGAAATAATTGTTCCACATGTGTTGCTCCAGTAAATTTCGCGCACTCACGTGTACCATGTACAATTACGGAGACAGAGAGACAATATACGTGCAGTTTGTTAATTTGTCAGTAAGCTACAAAATGTCTGTTTAGTTGCCACTATGCCACACAATCTAGTCATTCTCTCCAAGCCCACTCATTAGTGAATATTCATGATACATTATGCTGCATTTAACATGACAAAATATACAGTATTTTTCTTTTTCACAAGTTTAAAACGTTTTGATAAAACTACACGGCATCAACCCGTGACTTGCGTCACCGCACCTCGACCATCATATCAGACCTGATCCACATGTAGCACTCTATCAACATTGAGATTACTAGAATCACGTGAACGTCGATGGGAAAGTACCGCTCACCTAGGGCTTCCCGATTCGTCGTAGTTCTTAAATGCCTCAAAGAAGTCTGTGTGTGCATTCTCGTATTCACACTCACGCAGGTGCATCTTCCCTCCGCACTCTGAAAGTCACACGACAACATAGGCATAAACAACTACAAGCTGTATATAAAGGTCACTCTAGCAACTACCTATCTTTGACCTTAATAGACAGGTGGTGGCTCTATGAAGGTAGTTTCGCTGTATAACTGCCACTCACAGGGGAAATCCAAGTGGCTTTGTAAACAGGTGACTGCTCAAACATGTCAAAAGAGATAATTTCAGTGTATGACTACCACTCAAGAGAAATTTCAAAAGTGATGATTATAGCCAGGTGTCTGTTCTACAGAGGTGGCTTCACAGTATAACTGCCAGTCAGGAAGAATTCCTATTGTCTTTCAAAGACAGATGTCAGTTCTAAAGACGTCACCATTTTTGCAGGTTTGAGTGCATATTTTCGCTGCTTCCAGACAAGGCTGATGTCTTATATAGCCAAATTCTTTCCCGATCTAACACAAACTAGTGCCTACCACAGATGTGCTGCCATCGCGCACAATACAATAATCCTATTGATGACATTACCCCTAGCAAGAATACGCATGCCGACTAACACAGTAGTGACATTACCAAATCTAGGCATGTGCTTGCATGTTTGCGCGTGCGTACATTTGTGCTTTCGTGTGTGCAAGCGTGCGTGTGTGCATGCGTTTTTGAGTGCCCGCGCATGTACGTGCGTACTTGCATGCATTCTTGTTTGTGTGTGCAAGCGTGGCTGGGTGCATGTGAGCGTCTGTGGTGTGTGGGAGATTCACGTTCACACCTACCCCTGATCACGCCCATGATGAGTGGATGTGGTATGGCAGACTTGATGTGTAGCGACTGCTCATACAGAGTTTTCAACTTCTTGTTATTCTTCTGAGCAGTGTACATTTGAATTTCTAGTGCATAGATTTCTAGCAGCTGCGTTCCTTTCTTCAAATCATCCTCGCCATCCACCGTCTGCAAACACAAATGCAGTCGAAATTAGCAAATATGTAATTAACTCAAATTCTGCGTGTACATATTGAAGTAACATCAAGAGCTAATAAACACCTTAAGGTAATTGTAATAAGGTGTTTATTAGCTCTTGGTAACATGTATATAACAAGGTATCATGATTAACTCCTACACATTTCTTGCGACGTGTGACACAGCAAATACTATCACAATACTCAGCAGCATTATCAATCCGCACTTATATCAATTAACATGTCCACGCTGAATAATCTGCGATCTAGATTGATGCTGGTTTAGCAAACAGTTTCGTATGCATGACTTGACAAGTTTTACGTACTATAACAACAACCTTCTGGTTAGCCCATCAATAATTAAAGCCGCACAATGCGCATCCAAACGCTAATTTCTCCAGTACTAGACTAGCAAATACTTCGTGTCATGCATAATCACACTACCTTATGACAAAATAAACTCTAGTTGCTCCCATTTCACTGCGCGTTTGCTTAAAACCCACAAGAAAGAGGTGAGAAAACTGGCATTCTGGCGTAAACGCCGACTGTTTGCCAAACAATTTAGCCTCGAAGTGGTGAGGTGACATCACATGTTTTTATCTTTGCTACACCCGTACCGCTGTACCGCAGCACCGCTGCACGGTTGCTTGGGGAAACTGTCAACAACATCGGAGAATTTGAACAACATTGGAGGTATTTTCAAATACCTTTTATAAGACAACGCGCAGTGAAATGGGAGAAACTAGAGTTTATTTTGTCATAACGTAGTGTGATTATGCATGACACGAAGTATTTGCTAGTCTAGTACTGGAGAAATTAGCGTTTGGATGCGCATTGTGTGGCTTTAACGAATCCGTATGGATTTACTTAGAGTGACCATGAGAAAATCACAGCATAATTTACTCGCGAGACTCCCACGTCTATCACGTAATCAGAGACCACATAGGACAGAGAGCCAAATCTTACAATACAAAGTGTGCTATGGATGTGATTGTTGTAAACATAAGAACGTTTTCATCGTTCTCACGACGTGGCATACCTGACACGACTGATGCAGCTGCTTGAGGATTTTTGCTAGCTTGTTGAATTCTTCTCGATCAAAGTACAGCTTGCCTAGTTTTGTGTTCGTCTTAAACCACAACCTGTCGTTTTTAGCATCTCTCAGAGCGTCTAGAGTAGTCTCGTAAAACTCCTGCAGCAGCTCCATCTGTGGGCGAAAAATGTTATAATAATAATGTAAATAAAGACATTATGCATCAGTCACATCACATAGCTTGATACAATGTAAACACATAACCTTTAACATACATTTTCAGCTACTTTGATCAATTATAATAACATTTTATCATATAACTATTTACTTTTTTTACATTTGTCATACAATCATTAGTTATCACTCAATGTACAGAATATCAATATAATCAATTTTAACCTTCAAACTTACAAATGCGTCGACTTCACAGTTAAAGGAATAATAGGTCCATTGATTATGCAATGTTGGCGAATGATAGAGTAACTGGCACCTTGTGTAGTTAATAAGTACATTACCTTATAGCCAAATGCGTATTAGTTTGTCCAATATCACTGCTGGTTACTAAGAAATGTCTAATTGAAATCCGCAATCCAAAAATCAGTTGTTTACAGTTTCAAACTGCTGCCGGCAAAGCGGGTGTGATACAGATTTATAGTGCACCGGACATTTTCGCACGATTTCGTAAACATGGACGCTCGTGATAAGGAACTTTTTGTCAGGGCTGTCCACGTGCGTCCGTGATTAGTACGTGTGTTTTACTCTATTTCCATGTTTAGTCCTTGGCCGTGGTTACACCGCTGACACCTCCGTTTCATCTGGCGTCCAAAACATACAGGCCGCACAAATGTTTAGATCATCGCTTGACTCCTGGATGACATTTACGGCACGTAAATGATACGTTGATACATATCAACAACCGATTTCAAGTCGTGTTTGTAATGTAACCAGCAGTGATATTGGACAAACTAATACGCGTTTGGCTATAATGTAATGTACTTATTAACTACACAAGGTGCCAGTTACTCTAGCATTCATCAACATTGCATAATCAATGGACCTATTATTCCGCACTACACAGCACACAACACACGCACGCACGCACGCACGCACGCACGCACGCACGCACGCACGCACGCACGCACGCACGCACGCACGCACGCACGCACGCACTCACTACATAACTGTATACCACACACAACAATAACTTCTACTATGAGAGATGAAAACTTACATTTTTTGATGTCGATATGTAGTCTAGGATCGAATTGATGGATTTCTCAGAGTAGTTTCGCGTGACGGCGGACTTGATGTAAGTGAGCAATTGTTTGTACCTAGTCATCATCTCCTCATAATTGCTCTGCAAGATAACAGAGCACGTTCGTCGTACACTGAATGCGTTAAAGCATCGAGCGCCTAACACCAACGATGATAGATCCATAACCAGAATGTCTATCTTCTCCACGACTCTGTGACCTCTGTGACATGACAAGATTTTATGGCGAGTCCCATGAAAGGAAAAGCAAGTCAGATGTGTAATGTTTCCAACCAGAGAGTTCAAATGTCTCATAGCTTTTAACTGATAAAAATTTCAGGAGGAACACTTGGGCTCGCGGTGATGACTAAGCAAACCTCACTGTTCAACCAAGCCTGCTGTAGGAAGGGCTATACAATATACACGCGTACAGTGATTAAATTCGCTGCGGCAGGGCCGATTTGTATATCTGGCTCTGGCTTCTGAATGTATAATCTATTCACTGACATATTTAAAATAGATAAACATTACCTAACATATCTGTAGTTACTCTGACTACTGACTCACACTATAACTTTAATTTGCTAGCTATAATCCCACTATTCGAGCTATCGTCATTGAATGCCATCGATTATAACAGTGCTATAATAAATTAAAATATTTCATGACTTTTCTGTCGAATTTACTCACCAATTTAAAATTGATCTTTATCATTTGCTTTAATGCCTTGAACCCCCATTCACCTTTATCCTCCTCAAGTTGTAAAACCTATCAAATAAACAATGATCACACATGGACAACAAAACCGAGTAATTTAAATACAAAGCCCGAAATTCAATATCATGGTAGAATAGAATCTAATTATGCAAGTGTCAGCAAGCATGTGAGGAGAGTTAAATAACTGTAGGGTCCTCTAGTCTACACGTCACCATGTCCATCAAAGACTAAAAACATTTGCAACAAACACCTTACATACATAACCTTATCAGCAGAATTAATTTGTTAAATAAATTTATCTCCACCTAAGCTATAACATGCATATATATATCTGGCTATATTGATCTAACTAATTTCAAAACTTACCTTTTGGAAACTAGTCAGAGCTGCCTTATGATCATCTTCTTTTAGTGCTTTAGAGTTGTAGTATTGGTTTTCCAAATCGACATCTGGCTCAGAATTGCTATCTTCCGAGTATTCCTGTGATATAAGAATGTCAACGTTTTTAACATTTTACAAATCTGTTATCTCACTGAATAACACTTAAATGAAATCTCACTATTAGACTGGGTCCATAGATGATAAAAGAAGATGGAACATTAAGGTAAAGTTTTGAAATTTGAAAGGACATGATGCATATATATTCTTACATAGTATCAAAAAGTGGTTTGAGATGAGTGTGTGGAACAAGGTATGTCACACTCTAGCTCATCCAATAAAAAATGTGTTATTTTGATGTCAATAAAATCAATAATCAAATTTGTTATTTTTTTGACTTAGTTTCCAACATCAGCACATTAACCAATCAGATACCCTTACTGTATGTTGTGATGTGAGAGAAATCACATTAAACTTAACAGAATACAGATATTATATCTTCCACTAATGAAGCATATATATATATATAATTTACATCACTTGCCTAAGATAATTTGCTGTTAGAACACACAGTGGCAAGATCTTGTGATTTATAAACCATACTAACCCGAACTTACTGAATGATTCATGGTCTAAGCTATGCATTCAACTCACCAGAAATGTATGTATGTAGTACTATGTTATTGAGCTTTCGACTGCAGGCAATGGCATGCAGGGTGGCATTAATTTGATGGTCAATGCATCACAGTTCAAAATTTATTGTGGTCTGTTAGTCTGAAACTACCAGGTTTACACATAGATGAGGAGAATGCAGTAGCAACTACTCTGGTGGACTACCTGACTGTCAGTGTCAGTTTTTGCCTAACACGGTTGAATAAAATCACAATTTAAATTCGATACATCTTCTATATGGAATAATTTCACATTTCCTTTTCCTGCAAGTTTTTTAAAATAAATTAAATGTCAACTATCAAATATACTTAAAACTAGTATTCATTATCCAATACGTTGATCAATAGCATAGACGTTGGCCATGATATAACATAGATGGACTCTACTTGTTTCTGCAAAACTAACGGAATGTCAATATTATGAAACACCAAAATTGCTCATTGACACTGACTACCACCAGATTACAAAATCCAGTTGTCTATTATGACTACCAGGCAAAGAGGCTTAATTTCGCACACTGCAGTACAGCATGTTATTACTAGGGAATGTTGACATACGAGTATTACTTTTAAAACATACAAATAACTAATATTATTGTTAGCTAAATAAGCAAGCTTATTATTAGTCTACATATTAGTATTGATAGCATGTTTTCATGCCAGTAATAAAGCTGTGGATGAAGCGCAACGAAGCATAACGATAAGCACAAACGTCAAATACAGTGTACGTATGTATCAGATGGCTAGAGTCATATGCAAAATATTCAACCAAATACTAGAATCGGGAATCTACCCCAAAATCTGGGCTAGAAGCACAATAACACCCATCTTTAAATCTGGTGACCCAAACCTTCCTGATAATTACCGAGCAATCTCCATTACAAGTTGTCTCGGAAAACTGTTCAACTCCCTACTCAATAAACGTATCACTAATTATCTACTATCAAACAACATAATCTCAAAGTATCAAAGGTCGCAGAACCTCCGACAACCTCCTGATAATAAAAACACTGGTAGATAAATTCGTAAAAGTGAACAGGTCTACCCTATTCTCGTGCTTTGTCGACATAAAAAACGCCTTTTATAAGATATGGCATAAAGGCCTCTTTCTTAAACTAAAAGCATATACGCATAGAGGGCAATATTCTAGATGTGATAACTAACATGTATTCGAAGACGGAGGCAAGCATAAAAAGCAATGGCAGATTAACCGAATCCTTCCCTTGTCAAGCTGGAGTCCGTCAGGTGACATACTAAGCCCAATACTATTTAATATGTTCGTAAATGACATCCCGAACTCCCTTAAAAATTGGGTATATCCTAAAATTATGTCAGAACCAATCAAATGTCTCATGTATGCTGATGACCTCGTACTATTCAGCGAGACTGAAACGGGCCTCCAGAATTCCCCTAACAACTTAAAACTGTATTGCGACACCTGGAAACTAGAGCTTAATCATAGCAAAAGTGAGATTGTCACCTTTAGCAACAGCCACTTAAACGTTCACAAATATAAATTCAAATACGGCTCCACCACTCTAAACTCTAGACCGCACTACAAATACCTAGGGTTCCACCTATACCACAATGGTAACTCAAAATTTGGCGCAGAAGAACTTAGAAAAAAGGCACTAAAAGCAATGCAGTCTAAGACACTCTATCTTTAACTACGAAACTCCGGTCAAAACGTACATTACGCTGTTCCACTCTGTGATATCCCCCATAACCCTACATGCCTGTGAAATTTGGGGTCCAGACCATTATCTCCAAAATTATCAAATCGGAATCAGATACTCATGCCCAATCAAATATACAAACCCTGTTCAGCCTATAGAACCGCTTCCCATTTGAAACGATTCTGAACAAATTTTCCAAATGGGTATTGGGAGTCGGAACTAAAACTTCCAACATAGCCGCCAAAGCTGAGCTAGGAATGTTCCCCTTATTACACAATATAGTTCTTCAAGTGGCAAAATTATGGCACCATGCAAAATTCACAAGTCCTAACCCCCTCCTGAAGGAATCCCCTTCTCAATTCTACAACGACATTCCGGAAGGCAGTACTAAGACTTTCACAAATTGGTCAAAAATAGCAACATACTTATTTAGAACTTATGACAAAAAACACAATCTGGTGTGCAATTCCAATCAAAACTACATGAAACCACACTCAACATGAAGAGAAACTTGCAACAAAAATATACCACCATATTCTTTAACGACCTGAATATGACAATAGAAAAAAAGGAGGGTTAAACAAACTAAGATTTTATAGACAACTTAAAACAAAATATGAACCTGAACCATACCTATTAAATTCATATTCCAATCAAGCAAGAAGAGCATTAACCAAACTAAAGCGATCACAACCTAATGATTGAACAAGGCCGTCACCAATCCATCCCTGCTAATCTTAGATTCTGTTCCCAATGCAATAACGGGTCAATAATGATGAACTCCACCTACTCTATGACTGCACTGCCACCAACCACATCAGAAAAAAGATAGAAGACAAATTTATACACTTTACATTCCTAGGCAAATCATCCATAAAATGGTTATTCATCACAAATCATGTAGCCGATCTCGTCGAACTCTCAAAGTTTATCAAATATTCATTCAAGCTACGACAAGATCCAACCAAAACATAAAGGGTGAGATATACAAATAATAAATTAAATCAGACCACATATCCCAAGCTAAAATTTAAAATACAGAGAGGTTTAGACCAACAGTCTGGCTTTACTAGTCCTACATCTGAACTCAGGGCGCCTGCAGTTTCCGATACCAAACGTTACTATCTGCGGCAACCGATACCACGCGATACTTACCGCGATATTCTACCAGAGCTCTGAGTCTACTCACATGAATCTTGTTCGGTGTAGTTTAAGAGTTTGCATTTTATTACAGTAGTTTGAAGTGTTGTTTTTTGGTTAGAAATGAACGTTAAATTATGTTAAATAAAAATATATATTATCATGTATTATGATGTAACATTGTGTCATGCAGTCATGTCAAGGTTTAAGTAGACACATCGTTTCTCTCGTTTTTATTACTATTAGCCTAGGAACTTGTTTTATTGTAGTTTGTAGCCTATTTCAGTATTTGTCTGTATGATCTGCGATTATCCGTGCAATAAACTCTATTTGAATTTTTCGTCTTTTCCAATGATGCATGAATGATGAAAGCGTATTCTTATTATTAGACTGGAACCGTATCCCTTTGACTTGCTAAACCTCAAGAGTAAAATGACAGGGTGCCCATCTA